TCCAAACTGAGATTTATTTATTCGAAGGTATAAAGACAAGGATGGTGTGTCCTTTAGTATGGTCACGGTCTCATTTGTTTTAATTTGAACATATTAGCAGGAAGACGTAGAGGAACGCACCTTGTCCGGAGTCTATAGTATGCTTGCTCATTTCCAGAATCAGACCGTGAACTTGCACATTCTCAGAAATTTCGCCGGCATCGTAGTCGGCCTCGTCAGTGAGTCTTGCCATTCTCAGCAACCAAGCTACAACTCGCCAAAGGTAAGTCAATACTTTGACCAACTTTTTTTCGAGACGGTTATGCTATCACTCTTCGTTTTGTCCTGGTCCCTCGATCCATTTCTTACCCTCTAGTCTCGCTCTCATCCTATTACAACTTCTGACATGTTTACATTCCTCAAGAGATATTCCAGTTTGGCAAATTTACCGTGGCGTCATCACATCTGCTGTTTGCCTAGCTCCCCTCCGTTTCGAGTGGATTATAAAAGAAAAGCAGATGGAGAAGCACTCGCAAAAGTGGATATGCCTCCCTTCGTGTGAACTAGCTAAAAAACTATGGTCAATATTAAGAAAATGGAATATTCCGGTGATCAAGAAGAAAAAAATAGCACTCTTCACAAGTCTACCCACGCAACATGAGAAGGTAGATAAATTGGATTGCTCAGGAGTTTACCGCATAGCATGCGGTGTCTGCGAACAGAAATACATTGGCGAAACAGTGAGAAAAATCGACATAAGAATCAAGCAATATCAAAGGCTTTAGAAAAAAATGGATACCGAAAGATCATATATAAAGGAACACATCGCAGAGACTTGACACGAGATCAATCGGAAGTCAACAGAAAGAAGAGCCTCATACATTGAAAGCACAAAGAAACGGAAGATTAGGGAGGCCAGTGATATGCTTGGAGGGAAAAATTTAATGAAAAAGATATAACTTTGCTTATTGCCGAATCAAACTCGGAGAAAACAGGGATGTAAGAAGACAAGCGAAAAGGAGACGCCTGGATCAAGGATCTATCGTAAACCAGAGGAAAATGGATTACAAGGAAGAAGGGGTGAGGAGGTTTCGGAAATGAAGCGAATACTTTTTCAATGAGAGTAGTCAGCTCGAATAAGCGACTATAACTTGGGGGCCCGACGTTTCACGTGATTAGGAAGAGGAATTTGGTCACAGAAATCGGACATTGTGACCACTTGAGATACAAACGGCGACCAGAGATAGATGTCCACAGTTTTCTCAGTGTAAACTGGCTTAATCTAGATGATGAGCGGAGGTAATGCCTAATATCCGCAGACATGGGAATCAGAGCCTAGATGCCCTGAAGATAAGGCGACTTTGTGGGTGCTTCTCAAGGCTTGAGAAGCAGCACCTGGAGTAAAAGTGCACTGGGACTGGAACCAAGTGAAATCGGTCAACCAGAAAGATAAGCAAAGCCCCTACGAGCCCATGAGGCAAATCCGGACAGGGGACTAGAGCAGGATCAATCACTCGAAAGAGAGGAGAGCAAGGCAAACAGCAAGTGTGATGACGTCACGGTAAATTCGCAAGAGGCACACCTCTTGTGGAATATAAAAATGTCCGAAGTTGTGATAGGACGAGGACGAGACTTGAGGGTATGAAATGGATAGAGGGATCAGGACAGAGCGAGTTGTGATGGCAAAACCGTCTTGACAAAAAGTTGGTCAAAGTATTTACTTCCCTTTGACGAGTTGTAGCTTGGTTGCTGAGACTGGCAAGACTCATTGACGAGACCGACTACCATGCCAGCGAAATGTCTGGGAATGTACCAAGTCCACTGTCTGACTCTGGAAATTATCATGCATACTATAAACTCAGGACAAGGTGCGTTCCTCTAGGTCATCCTGCTAATATGGTCAAATTGCGAAACCAATGTCAAACA